GATGGCAGGCTTGAGTTGCAATTTTAAATAGAGTGACCAGGGAAGCCTTTATTAGAGAAGTAACATTTGAACAAAGACCCGAAGGAGATGATGGAGTAAGCTACACAGACCCTCGGGGGTGGAGAGAATGTTCTAGGCAGAGAGAACAGCAACTCAAAAGTTCTGGGATGAGAGCATGCCTGGTTCATCCAAGGGACAAACGCGGCTGGAGCAAGTGAATCAGGGTGAGTGGGGGAAGGGACAGAGATGCTCCGGGGTCAGATGAGGGAAGCCACTACACCTTGTGAACAGAGAGCGAAGTGAGCTGACTTACACCTAAGAGGCTTGCTCTGGCTTCTGCACTGAGCCTAGGTGCAGGGGAGGGAGCCAGCGTGGGAGTTGGATGACTAGTTAGGAAGCCACAGCAATAGTCCAGGTAGGAGATGCTGGGGACTTGGACCAGGATGGGAGTTGGGGATGTGTGGACAATGACTGAATGCTGGATATGTTTTGACAGTAAGAGAATAGAGGAGTCAAGGAGAATGCCGAGGTTTTTAGCCAGAGCAACTACAATGCAAGAGGCTGTGGAGGAGGTGATTCTGGAGGGAAGATGGGGAGTTGAGTTTGGAAGTGTTAGGTGCAGAGGGCCAAGTTGGCAGTCTGACATGTGAGTTTGGGGTTTGGGGGGGAGATCTAGGATGAAATATGCAATTGAAAAAAGCCTGAGATNATGTGGGATCCGAACCCTCGGCGGGAGCGCCACCACACTTCCCAAGCGGCGCACTATAGCAATGCGCCACCGGGCCGGCCCCATATTCCTCTGTTTTGCACAAACTTTATTTTCTGCTTACTTGTAAGGGTGATATGCTATAAAAGCTTCAGTATGAGCCTTAGCTGGAACTGGCCGAAATAAATAATAATAATAACATAATAATAATAAAACAAACAAAAACCTGCCCATATCTTAATCCTGGGGCTGTTGATGGGGAGACAGGTGGAATCTATGTTGAAATTCAGACAAAGGGGGCAATACGGTGGGATAAACAGCTCACTGGGCTCAAGTCAGAGGACAGACCAGAGCCTTGGCTCTGCTCTTCCCTAGCTGTGTGACCTCGGATGAGCTTGACCTCTCTGTGGCTCCAGACTCCTGTGTTCTGGGTTTCCCATTTATAGAACAGGGAAAGCTTAATCTATGTCTACGGGTCTCCCGTGACAAACAAGACAATAAATATGAATGTGTGCATAGAAGGCAAAGCAGGACACGATTGCTTACAAAGCAGTATCTGTAGGAGGGCATGGATTTGAATCCTGATCTGAGCCGAGGGACTCTTGGGCAAGCTGCCTAGCCTTTCATTTCCCTAGTTTCTTCACTGGCCTAGTTTCTTCACTGGACTGTCTGGATCTGCAGATGTCTTGTCCTTCTTACCTGAATGGTCTAGCATGTATATTTACATATTCGTCATTTGAAAAGAGGAAAGAAGGATCCTAACCATCCCTTATTGTTCTAAACTGACATTTTTGGCAAATTTGCATACATTTTCTTCAGTAATTAATAGTGTCAAAGTTGATCACAAAATGACTTCGTTTTAGGAAAAGCTAACAACTCATCTCTACATTTGTATTTTTCAAACCGATATGACCATTGTTGAGTCAGGAATTCAATTTAGGAGGTTAAATCTGTCATTAAAAAACAAACTAATGAAACAGAAAAAAAACATCAGGAATTATTGCATATTTTAAAGGTGAGCATTGCTTTATTGATTCTAGCAGTTTTATATATCTATTTGCATGGCATACACTGGGTTAGGACAGAGAATGTATTTCTTACCGTATGGGCATGGTAAAAAGTTTGCAAAGTACTGCTGTAGATACTGTCTCACAGTTTTAGTTCCTTTCAGCATGGCATAGTGAAACAGGGCAAATGGAAAGAACAGCTGACTAGAGAAGAGGGTCCAAGCTCTTAGGTACCTACTGGCTGACCCTGGGCAAGCCCCACAACCTTCTGGAGTCTCAGTTGCTCCATCTGCAATATAAACATAGCAGTCCCATCCCTGACCACCAAATGGAGTTAGGAGGATTAAGCAACACAATGAGCAAAAATGTATCGTAGAACTATGCAAATGCCTGATGTAATTATTGTGGTTACCATGCTACAGGTTTGTACTTTATGAAACAAACAGTTCAAAAAAAAAAAGTTTCAAACCATAAAAAATATTCCAGATGCAGAAACGATAAGTCTGCTGCATTTATCTGCNTTACAGGTGCATAGCAGGTGCTCAGTTATTTGTTGTTGAATGAGCCAACTATGTGATAGGTACATAATATCTTATTAATCAGATATTCACACACACTGAAGCATCTTTCTCTGAAGATTTCATGGCATTTGAGAACAATATGGCATATCTTCTATCTCTATGAAATAATGGGAATCTGAGACTCCAAAAAGTTTTGTGACTTTGATTAGGTGACTTACCTAATATGTCTTCTCTAAGACATATTTGCCCACTCAGAGATTCTTTTCTTCACAGAAGTATTCCTCTGTTTTGCACAAACTTTATTTTCTGCTTACTTGTAAGGGTGATATGCTATAAAAGCTTCAGTATGAGCCTTAGCTGGAACTGGCCGAAATAAATAATAATAATAACATAATAATAATAAAACAAAAACCTGCCCATATCTTAATCCTGGGGCTGTTGATGGGGAGACAGGTGGAATCTATGTTGAAATTCAGACAAAGGGGGCAATACAGTGGGATAAACAGCTCACTGGGCTCAAGTCAGAGGACAGACCAGAGCCTTGGCTCTGCTCTTCCCTAGATGTGTGACCTCGGACGAGCTTGACCTTTCTGTGGCTCCAGACTCCTATGTTCTGAGTTCCCCATTTATAGAACAGGGAAAGCTTAATCTATGTCTATGGGTCTCCTGTGACAAACAAGACAATAAATATGAATGTGTGCATAGAAGGCAAAGCAGGACACGATTGCTTACAAAGCAGTATCTGTAGGAGGGCATGGATTTGAATCCTGATCTGAGCCGAGGGACTCTTGGGCAAGCTGCCTAGCCTTTCATTTCCCTAGTTCCTTCACTGGCCAAAGGGGTGGACTGTCTGGATCTGCAGATGTCTTGTCCTTCCTACCTGAATGGTTTAGCATGTATATTTACATATTCGTCATTTGAAAAGAGGAAAGAAGGATCCTAACCATCCCTTATGGTTCTAAACTGACATTTTTGGCAAATTTGCATACATTTTCTTCAGTAATTAATAGTGTCAAAGTTGATCACAAAATGACTTCATTTTAGGAAAAGCTAACAACTCATCTCTACATTTGTATTTTTCAAACCGATATGACCATTGTTGAGTCAGGAATTCAATTCAGGAGGTTAAATCTGTCATTAAAAAACAGACTTGGGCTGGCCCGGTGGCGCACTGGAGAGTGCGCCGCTTGAGAGCGCGGTGGCGCTCCCGCCGAG